GTATGTATATACACATAATAAGAAAAATATATACACATAATTTAGAGAATACAGGACAGAAGAAGCTGGTAAAAATATCTGTAATCTTACAACCTCAGAGTAATCATGGTCAATGTTTTCTGGAATTCTATCAACATTTTCTAGACACAGATACATTTTTTACTGTCTTTTTTGAAAATTCAGGATCATCTTATAAATACAATTTATATGATTTACTTTATAAGTTTAAAATTACATTATGAGAATTTTCCAATGAAGTCTTTTATTCATGTCTAACAGTTGATTGGAATTTATTAAATCATATTCTTAATGTTGTACTTTTTGAATGTTTCTAAATATTGATATTACAGCTAACAAGTAAACATGCTTAAACACATATGTATGTTTGAGTTGATTATTTCTATAGAATAGATCTCTAGAAATGGTATTGCTGGGACAAAGGATCTAGATTTTTTTGGAGGTTTCTGATACAAATTACCAAATTGCTTTCCCAAAAGGATGTATCAATTACTATTGAAAGTATATGAAAGTGCCCAAGTCACCTTACCTTACCAATATTGATTATCACAATTTTCAATCTTTGCTAACTGATAAGATTTATTTTATTTACATATGCATATTACTATATGACATTCTTGTAAAGTGAATTTAGGCATGCTTCATGACTTCTTTTGTTGCTCACCACTGTCCTCTGGTTTTGGTCATCTATGTTTGCCATCATCTTATCAATTCTATGATGACGATGGTGATGTCAATGATAATAATGATGACAGTGATAATTAACCTTTGAGAATACTGTTTTCCATATATATATATATGCACTCTTGAGGGGCAGTGTGGTTAAATAGAAAGTGAATAGATTTGCTAACAAGCTCTTCCTTCGAATTCTGGCTCCTCTTCTTACCATCTGATGATTTTGACCAAGTCATACCTTCTCTGCTTCTTAGTTTTCTCTTCTCTAAGATAGTGAGATTGAGACTGACACTGAGCATTGTTTGCGAATCACATGAGAAAATGCAGGTAAGACACTTAGTAGAACAGCTGGTGCTCTGTGGGTGCTAGTTTCCTTCCTTACTCAAGAATATTTGTCGGATAAAGTATCTAGTATGATAGTTTTGTGAGTGCCAAAGAAACACTATTTAAAGTTGAAAACCTCATGAAAATAAATGTTGGATAGCAGAAAAAT